CCTGGAGCTGGCTCTGGCTGTGGCCGGCTGAGAACATGCTAAGGAGCAATGAGGTCTCAGTCTAATTTTTTGTTCCTGATCACCCATGTCACCTTCCTGTGTACGAGCCACCCTCCACTGCCAAGGCCGGACCCTGGCAGAGACTGACAAAGTACAAACAAACAAACAAACAAAAAGACAGAAACCTCTAGAACATGTCATTTCTATTTGAAATTATTAAAAGAAGTCAACCACAAGAAGCCAGTGAGACTCCAGAGCAGCTTCCCCTCCACATTCCCTCTAGGGGAGAAAATGAGAAAAACTCTGAAACTCTGAACCCCATATCTCAAGAAATACAAAAAACAAGGAAACATCTCTCCCAGAAAAAAATCACAATAGCTTCTTGTCTACAAAGAATAAAACACAAGAAATAGCTGAAATGTCAGAAAAAATATTTAGAAATATATCGCAAAAAAACTCATACAATGAAAGAAAAAAAGAGTAGATTCCAGAAGAGGAAAAAGTTATTCCATAACATTAAGAAGCAACTCTATAAAGAGATACCCTAAAAAAGAACCAAACAGAAGTTCTGGAGATGAAGAAAACAGTACAGGAAATTAAAATCTTTCTTGAGGGTCCAGCAGATGGCAAAGTGATTATGTAGCTGGACTTCCACATGGCTGATGGTGGTTTGAGTCCCAGAGCTAAGGGCTTGAAACACATGCTAGGCAATGTGCATACATGCCCAGGATCCCTAGAGGAGAATGGAGGAAAAGAGATTGCAGCATGACAATCACTCTCTCTCTCTCTCTCACTGTCTCTGTCTCTTTCTGTCTCTCTGGTGAATGCATACTCCCTAAGTAAAATTAAAAATTCTTGAAAGTATCAGCAGCCAATTAAACCATGAAGAAGAAAGAATCTCTCAAATTTAGTCCAAGCCACCAAAAATAATTTTAAAAACATGTTAAAAATGAGGACAATGTATGGAAATTTTAGACACTAATAAGTGGCCAAATAGCTGCATAATGATATCCTAAAAAGTGAGGAGACTGGTAAAAGCATACGAAAAAAAAATTTTTTGAGAGGTTTTTGCAATAGGCCACATGCACTTGCCAGAGAAAAAGAGATACAGGGAAAGTGAGAAATCACTCACTCCCTGGGAGGATGGCCATGCCACAATTTCTTCTCAGTTCTCTTCCTAGGAATTTGGGCATGCATGTATACATGTCTAGTGTGATTTTCAAACCACTGGTTGGCCCTGTGAGAGTCCAGCAACGTAACCACTACAACATCTTCTAACCTCAAAAATCTTTTACTAAGCACTATTTGAAAACTTTCCAAATATAGAGAGATAAGCAGATATCCAAACCCAGAAAATACAAAGAACACCAAATAGATTAACATGAAGAAAAATCTCCAAGGCACATCATAGCTAAATTGG